TTGACAAGGGATTGTGAATTAGAATTTATATATTTGATTGCATTTTGGGTAAATTTCTTCTATGCAGCAAGTCAATGAGGGATCTAGGCTAGGAATTTGAGAGATTGCTCTTGATGGTAATTAATTCCCATTTTAATTCTTTCTTTGCATGATTGATTATCAAATCGATTCCCATTAACTTGTTAATTGTTCAAAGTGGATCTTTGCCCCTAGTAGACTTTGTAATATCTTGATCTTTATATGTGTGTTAGTGTAGTTGTAGTGTCCACTATCCATAAACCGACTTCGGCGTAGCTTAAGCATTAGATCGAGAACAATCCAACATTACCGTTCCTTGTGGTTCGACTCCGAACTTACCACTAGACTTGTTTAGGGGTTAGTTTAGGATTATAATAAATTTTGTTTGGCCGTGAGGAGGTTAGTCAACGACATAATTTCCCCGCGCTCATTAGGGTTAATATAATTATAATTCAAGTGATCGCCAATAATAGATTTATTTGTGCATTATATTCAACCAACAAAGATAAACAGGTTTAGGGTTAATCCTATTGATTGCATGTTAATCAGAAAGCGCACATGAATACGATCAGAATAAAGTAGAGGCCTATTATTAGGTCAGGTTCAATCTGTTTTAGGTTGGATTTGTACCTTTATCCCCGAAACCATATTTGGTTCAAGACCTTATGGAGTTGACGATCTCTTGGATCGTTAAGGGGTGTAACCTTCACCCTGTGAACGGTTTACAAGTTCTTAAAACTTGTTGGCGACTCTTTTGCTCTATCTTCTTTCCATTTGGACGCCACCGTACTTTAGTGTATGATCACAGTAGGGTTCAAGAAAGGGGATTAACGCTTGAAATTTATTCCCTACAGTTAACATCCTCGTTCATGGGAGAGTTGACTTCCTCATCATCATAGCTCAACAGTAATGTGCCAGGAGCAGTAGTCCCTGCAGGAAAGGTCTTCTCAAAAGCAGACTTCTCAACAGCATAGTCCCACGCTTCATGCTTTCCCTGCTGATAGTCCTCCATCATCTCCAAGCGTGCCTTCCCAAAGTAATAGCTAGCCGCATCAAGAGAGTCATTAGCAGCATCCTTCAAAGTACTCTTCAACCCATCCCGCTCAGCAAGGCATTCCTTGTGTTTGGTCCTTTCAGCTTTCAGAGCGTCAGTAGGAGCTTTGTACTTATCAGCAAGGGCATCACGCTTCTTATTCATGACATCATAAGCCCGAGTGAACTCTGAAACCTTGTTCAAAACACCTAAACACGATTGAAAACTCTGCAATAGCACACAGCAAAGTCAGGACGACACATCTAGATATTCAATATTGTTGATTTTTTTAAGGAAGTATACTATACCTGAAAGGACTGCGCAACAGCCTCTTGAGAAAGGTCAGCAAAAGTCTATGAGGACTGGCGCTCCTTAAAGGCCGGGAAGAGCAAATTACCCACACGAGGGGCTAAGGAGTCATAAGAAAGTTGACAGCATCAACATTAGTAGGAATCTCCAATCTTCTCTTAAGATTGTTGCGAGGTGAAGGTGGAGGAGGAGCACTCCTTAGAGGAATCACGTTAGCCAGGGCAAGGACATCTTCTGGACCCTTAGAAGAAGCCTGCGATCTAATGCAACCCAGGATGGAGGAAGAACTAAGCAAATCATGAGATCTCAACGACCTAGAGGTATCTACAAAGCATACAACACATTCAGCAGATGTCCAACAAGGCAAAAGCAAACAAAAAAGATGACATTCCCAACAAAAGGGCAGTACCAAAGAGCAACACAGCAATACAACAAGCAGGACAACACAATAACAATATAGTAGTACATAAAAAAGGAAAACGTACCTTGAGACATAGTTGGGGCAGCCTTCTGATCAGAATATGAATCGTCCAAAGTCTCAATCTGGACAACCGCTTCAGGCTGCATCAATTTGATAAAAGACCTCTCGTTCGCACTCAGTTCTTACAACTTATCAATAAGAGATGGAGATTGAGAATTCTGCTTCAGTTTACTCACTACAGCCATCAAGCAAATAAGCCCAAATCAACAAAGAAGGAAAATAACACAAAGAAAACAAGAAAATAAAATACCTTCAGCTTTAACAGTGTCAATAAAAAAATCACAATAATCACCCAACGAGTCAATCCTCAAAAAGAAAAACTTGTGGTACCAATTCTTGTCAAACGCCTTCTCCAAATTTGTCAACAAAGGACCAACACCATCTTTCAAACGGAGTCCAACTCGACCCTTTCCACTGGTCCTAATAGTGTAAGGATAACACAAATCCCTTACATCAAGCTCTATACCTAATTTTGCACTTAGCAAATCGAGAATTCTCAAAACCCTCCAAGTTTGGGCAATAATTGACAAGGTGAAAACCTAACCCTAGGCAGAAATTGACGAATAAGGGGAGAGAAAGGAAAAGTATGCCCAATCATAAAGGGATACTCGAAGAAACACACCCAACCAAGGGCAGTTCAATCAGCCCTCTCCCTAGAAGATGGGATTTTCACCACAACTCCATCAGGAAATTGCGCAACAGTAGCGATTCTCTGAACATCCTCCTTCGTCACATGAGAAAGGTAGACATCTTTAGCAGGGAAGACGCTCTGTGTAGGAAAGGTCGGCTTCTTCACACCCTCATCAACCCCAGCAAACACTACTCTCACAGCGTCACCCATCGCAAAACACAAGATAAACAAAGAAGTAAAAAACAGAAAAGAACAGAGAAGAGAGAGAAAATACCTGAGGAAAATTCAAAATTGGGACAAAAAGTAAAATGATTTGATGCAAGCCTCCACACCCAATAAATACTGGCAAGAGAAATAAACCGCCTCTTCACGATTATCAAGACACTTGCCTTAAAATTGCCACCACGTTCCTTATTTTTGTTAACCATTGAAATAACTTCCAAAATTCAAAAATTCTCCAACGCCTTCCTTTAGGTAATTTTCACCTTCAATACTTGAACATAAAAATTAGGGGCAATTGTTGGGCATGTATCAATAAACAACCCAACACATTTAAGGCACCAGTCCAAGATCAAGAGACACACCAAATCAGGCAAAACGGCTTTATTGGGGCAAACAAGGAAAGCAAGATCAAGAATATCAATCACGAAGATACTTGCTAAGAATACACCTACTGCACAGGGAAACAAGATAAAGTCATGCAAGATCTTCCGTGGTCAAATATATTCGATATCTTTGTAACCCTAGTGGCTCCTAGGTATAAATAGCAAAATCAGACAATATAACATTCATTTACGCTCGCACATACCTCAATACACTACTACAAAAAAGGCCTTAGAGAACTGTTAGAATAGGCTTTATAGATCGCCTTAGGGGCGTTCTTCTGCTATAGAGAAGGGGTCATTTAGGCGATTTATATAATAACAAATAGAGAACTGTTGTTAGTCACAACCGTTCTCTTTTCCCTTCTTAAATTCGTACACCAAGGAAGGAATAAATAACGGTTTAGGCCATTTAACCGTTGTATATTGAATTACAATAGAGAACGGTTAAAGTTAGATAGCAGTTCTTAAATGTTTTTTTTTTTTAAAAAAAATCTGGCCATAATTATTCGAATTACCCTTTTACGTAATTTATACTTCGTATTGTATTAATCTGGTATTTTAATAATTTATATTATTTTTGTATTTCATTTTAGACCTGTATTTGTTGTATTCTTGTTTTGTATCTTGTACATTTATCCAAAATAAATTCTATCTAACGTTCCCTCTAGAGTAGTTCTCTTGGGAGGATTTTGCCCTAGCAGTTGCTGGGTTTTGATTCTTTAATTCTCAAAGGTTTTTTTTTTTCTTCTTCGTTTGTGTTTTTGATTTTTGTCCTGTTTTTTTTCCTTTCATAATGGGTGATAATTCTCCCAATCATGAAATTACTGATGATGAATGTAGAGATGAAGGCGAATGACAGTTGGACACTGAGGACGATGATGAATCTAAGGTTGCGTTGGGGGTTGTGGGGAAAGTCTGGACGGAAAGAAGTATCAATAGCAATGCCCTAATTGCATCTATGAAACGCATCTGGAATCCAAAGTATGGACTGGAGGAGAACAGTATCGGTAAGAACACCTTTTTCTTCCAATTTTATCACTGGAAGGATAAAGAATTTGTTATGGAAGCCCGTCCATGGCACTTTTATCGCCATACTTTAGCCCTATGTGATGTACAGGGAGATAAAAAAACCTTCTGAAACTCCCCTATACCAATCACCCTTTTGGATTAGGGTTTATGATCTCCCGTTTGCTGGAAGCAGTAATGAAGCAAATGCTCGAACAATTGGTGATAACGTAGGCACTTACTTGACCATGGATAAATTGGATATCGTGGGTATCAACAAGTCCCTACGAATCCAAACTATGATCGACCTTCGAAAGCCCCAGGTAAAAGAGGTTAGGCTAAAGATGAGGGGTGGAGAGAAAAAAACTTTTGAGGTGAAATATGAAAAGCTTCCCCTGATTTTCTATGTGTGTGGTAAGCTTGGACATGGGGAGAAGGATTGCGATGATGCTATACATGTTGAAAATCCAAAGAGATTGTTAAATGAGAACCTCAGAGCATCTCCCTGGCAGTCAAACAAGGGTGATACAAGTGACAAGGGGGCTGAAGGCAGTAGTTGTGCAAGACGTCTTTTCTTTAAAAAAGGGAGTCAGACTATCAACAAAGAAGCCGAAAAGCAAGTGTCCCTAATGCAGAAAAAATTGCAAGAAGTAGCAATAATGCAAAGTGGGGAGCAAAGTAAGGCAACCGAGGCTCCTATTGGGATCACTGCAGCTGTGCAACATGAAGGGGTTATGACAGAATCAGAAGCAGTTTTGACCCCTGGACAGTTGCTTTCTTCTGCTTTAACTGCCCATGACAGTGATGGTGGGGGAACCCCCTACACGTGAGCTAAGGAAAGTCAACATTGTTACAAGAAGTTACCCACTTGAATCCAAAGTTGAGAGCGATCGAGGCAAGAGGAAGAATGCTATGGAAATGGACAAACTGACTGAAGAATACACTGGAGGGGATGTAGAAAATGAGAGAGTTGTAAAGAGAAAGGGGAATGATTTTCACATAATGACGGTAGCGGAGGTTGCCTTGCAGCCCTGCGAACAGCAATGATAGGCCTTACTTGGAACTACCGGGGGTTGGGGAGCCCCCGGGCAGAGAATGCGCTTAAGGGCGTAGTAACCATCGAACATCCCCACTTTGTCTTCCTCTCGGAGACAAAGTTAAAAGGTACAGAGTGGGAGAGTATAAAAAGAAAGCTGAATTTTGAGCACTTTGTATGTGTTGATTGTAGTGGTGAAGGAAGGCATAGGAGTGGTGGTTTGGCCATGTTTTAGAAGGACGAGTTGGATCTTACTTTGGTCACATCTTCTCTGAACCATATGGACTTCAACTTAACAAACGATGATGGTTCAACATGGCACTTAACAGGCATTTATGGTTATCCTGATGAAAGTAGGAGGAAAGAAACGTGGAAGCTCATAGAAAGGTTGGGTGAGGACAATGTGATGCCCTAGCTATGCTTTGGTGACTTTAACTATACTCTCATGCATAGTGAAAAAATTGGTTGCAACCCAAAGAATCAGAATGAGATTGATGGTTTCCGTAATGCTATGATTAAATGTAACCTTCGTGATTTGCATTTTTCTGGGTCGTATTTCACTTGGAGCAATAATCGGGCTGACATAGATAACATATAGGAGAGGTTGGACAAGTTCGTAGCTACAGACGAATGGATTGATCTCTACCCTTGCTCTAAGGTTGAGCACTTACCTCGACGTCGCTCTGATCATGTACCACTAAAAATCACCATTCAGGCTCAGCTATTAGTAAACCGTGGCAGAAGAAATAGGAGGAGGAGCTTCAAAATTGAAAAAGAATGGCTTCGTGATGATGAATGTGGAAATATAATCTCCGATGCGTGGAACTTGGACCCAAGTTGTGATGCTAAACAAAAAATTGCAGCATGTTCTTCGAAACTTCGGTCATGTAGTTCAAAAAAGTCTACTTACTTTAAAAAAGAAATTAGTTCTCACAGGGATTTAATGGCTGCTCTTATGAATCTGCCTCCAACCGAGAGAAACATTGCGGAGATGAGAAAGATTGATTCGGAATTAGATGAACTCGAAGGAAGAGAGGAAGCATACTGGGCTCAGAGAAGTCGCCAAGATTGGCTTCGAGAGGGCGATAAAAATACTAATTTCTTTCATAAGAAGGAAAAATAGAGGCGACAAAGGAACACTGTTAAAGGCGTCTATGATGATGGGGGAACATGGAGAAAAGATGAAAAGGAGATTGAAGTAGTTTTCGAGAGTTATTTCCAGTCTTTGTTCAATTTGGATGGGGAGAATGAAATGCAACCGGTTTTGGATGCTGTAGAGAACCGTGTCACTGCCGACATGAATACCATGCTTTCTGAACCTTATACAAGAGATGAGATCACTTGTGCACTCAAGCAGATGCATCCCACCAAGGCCCCCGTCCCCGATGGTATGCCCGCTCTTTTTTATAAAAAATTCTGGAATGTTGCTGGGGATGATGTTGTTTCATATGTGCTTGATATTTTAAATAACAATGCCCCGATTGACCCCATAAATCATACCCACATTGTTCTTATTCCCAAAAAGAATCAATGTGAATCCACCAAGGACTACCCTCCAATTAGCCTGTGCAACGTTCTTTACAAGCTCGTGTCGAAGGTTCTGTCTAATAGGCTAAAAATCATTCTGCCTGATGTTATTAGTGAAAATCAAAGCGCATTTGTACCCGGAAGACTAAAAACAGATAATGTGCTTGTGGCATATGAGATGTTCCATTACCTTCAGAAGAAGAAGTCAGGGATTCGGGAATACATGGCCATGAAATTAGACATGAGCAAAGCATACGATCGTGTGGAGTGGGATTTCATTGAAGGAATGATGTTAAAATTGGGGTTCAATCAGAATTTTGTGTCACTTATTATGAAATGTCTTTCTTCGGTTTCATATTCCATTCTTGTTAATGGCTTCCCGACTTCGAGCTTTGTGCCTAGTAGGGGTCTCCGCCAAGGGGATCCCAGCTCACCTTTCCTGTTTCTTATATGTGCCGAGGGTTTTTCTGCACTCCTACGGAAGGCCGAGCAAAACCGTATGGTCCACGGGGTGAAACTTGGCAGGAATGTTGATCCGATATCACACTTGTTTTTTGCCGACGACAGCCTCCTATTCACTAGAGCTAATGAGAGTGAAGCGGATGCGATCATGGAAATTCTCACTGCCTATGAGATGGCTTCGGGGCAGAAGATAAACTTGGAAAAATCAGAGGTCTCTTTCAGTCGTAATGTTAGTGCCGATATGCAGGAAATGCTTCATTTGAAGATGAACTTGATGAAAGTGGAAGGACATGAGAAATATCTTGGTCTCCCTACCTATATAGGCCAATCCAAGAAAGTTGTTTTTCAAGCTATCCAAGATCGAGTTTGGAAGAAGGTCAAGGGGTGGAAAGAGAGGTACCTTTCGAGAGCGGGAAGAGAAATTCTACTAAAATCAGGGTGGCACAAGCGATCCCTACATATACCATGCAATGCTTCAAGATCCCGGAATCTATTATCAACAATATTAATGCTTTGTGCAAAGATTTTTGGTGGGGGCAAAAAGACAAAGAAAGAAAACTTGTTCTGATTAACTGGGAAAAAATGTGCAAATCGAAGAAAGAGGGTGGTTTGGGGCTGCATGATATGAGTGCTTTTAACACTGCTTTGCTTGCTAAGCAATGTTGGAGGTTGATTGAGAATTCCCATTCTCTTGCAGCTAGGGTCCTAAAAAGGAAAATATTTTCCCCGTTCATCTTTCTCGGAAGCTAAAATCCCCCCCAACACAAGCTATACATGGCGCTCTATCATGAGTGCAAGAGAATTGTTACAAGAAGGTTCAAGTTGGGTGGTGGGTAATGAAAGGAACATTAAAATCTGGAGGGATAATTGGGTGCCTAGTCTGCCTGGGACTCGTCTATTTTCATCCCCAAATTCTGAAGATGATAGAAGAATGTTGGTCTCGGAATGGATTGAAACTGATGAAGAGGGCCATAAGTTCTGGAATGTGGTGCAAGGGATATCTGTAGTTGAGGCTCAAGCCATTGAAAAAATTCGTCTGTCACCGAGAAATCAAGATAATTTTTTGCTCTAAAAAGGGTACCAAAAATGGTTTTTTTCCTGTCAGATCGGCATACCATCAACAGATGCAAAGAAGCAAGAGTATAGCAGGTCCGTCTGATGGTGAACCTGATGCAAAGCTATGGAAGAAAATATGGGAAGCTGATGTTTCGCCAAAGGTGAAATTGGTTATGTGGAGAGCGGTGAGAAATGGTCTCCCTGTGCGTGAAGTTTTGTGCAAAAGGGGTATGTAAATTGATCCTTGTTGCCCTCGATGTGGAGAAAAGAGCGAGACGATTATGCACTTGATCGCTTTATGCCCCGAAAGCCAGTTTTTATGGAAGATTTCGCCACTGAGACTGGACACAAATGAATGGTTTATGTCCTCTATAAAGGACTGGTGTGCTGAGATGAAGAAGAAACTCACCATTGACAAAGGTTGAGAAATCTTCATGATGTTTTGGTGGAAAATTTGGGAGTTGAGGAACATGTGGACCTTTGAAAAGAAGAAACCAGATGCTATGTCTGCGTGCGAAAAAACGCTCAGCCTCCTTGGTGAGTTTGAAGCAGCTAATGCTCGTAACCCCCCTCCTACAAGCTATGCAAACATCAAAAGGGTGCTTTCTTGGACCCCCCCTTCAGCAGGGACGTATATGCTAAATACTGATGCTGCACTCTCCAAGGATGGAAAAATTGGCTTGGGTATGGTTGTCAGAGACAATACTGGTGATGTTATGATGGCTGGTGGCAAATCTTTCTTTGGGGAAGGCAATGTCTGCAATGCTGAAGCTGAAGCTCTACTCTTTTGGATCAAATTCGCGTTTGAAGTTGGCCTCCGTCGTCTTGTGATATCCTCAGACTGCCTGCATCTTGTTAACCTCTTATAGCTGAAATCCAAAGAAAGGACCCCTGCCCAAGTGATTGTTGAAGATACTCTAGCTGTTGCTAGCTTATGTGATGTTAGTAGTTTCTTGTTTCAGCCTAGACAATGTAATAAGGTGGCCCATTCTATTGCTAAACTCTCTTTGTCTTTGTCAGAGGAGAAATTATGGATGGAAGAATGTCCACCCCCTGCTTTACCCTTTGTCATTTCTGACAAAGTGGAAATTGTTACATGAATGAATGAATATTTGCAGGTGTTGTCAAAAAAAAAAAAAAAAAAAAATCTTGTACATTTATCCTGTAAGAAAATTTATGATCCTGTATACGTGCAATATAAATTTTTGTATAATAAAATTAACAAAAATATTTCCAGATATGACGAAAGCCATCAAAATATACTTCATATATATAATTTAATAGCGTCAGATTAACTCCATCCAATCCTTTAAAGACATGAAACACAGATCCAAGCTCTAGTCCATCAGAAAGGCATACATAGATATAGATGTTTCAAGAAAATAAGTATATTACTAAACTCTTCTTCAGAAGCTTGTCACAAATACAGAGATAGTCAAAAGTCAAAACAATAGTGAAAGATATTATAATCACGTACGTATGTTGAGTAAACAGTATCAATGTGAGATGAAACCAAAACAGAGTTTTCCTTGGCTTCAGATTCATATTTGGGGGTGATCCTCAAGATAATATGATTTAGATTAGCATATATAAGTGTTTTCCCTACAAATAAGCTGCCATTAAGATGATTTGCACCCTCCTTGACATAAAACTCTTCCACCTCAACATCAACTTCCCAATGAGATGTGTTTTTTATCTTTTCTGCAGCAAGCAGCACATACTGCCCAAGAAGAAAAGGAAAACCTTAAGAGAAAGATTGAAAATGATGTATTTAGAGAAACTGTATTCAGTAAAATAATTGCAGACAAAATCGCAAGGATCACTTAAGTGAAAGGCGAGTGATGCAAAAGCCAAGAGAAGAGGCTTATCAAGTATGCAAATTTTAGTAGATAGAGGGCATACAAAAGTCCAGATAGCTAAGGGCCAACACAATCAGAGTATCAGAATAAAAAACCAAGAGAGAAATAAAGAGTGAAAGTCAAACAAAAAAAAACCAAGAGAGAAACTTTAATACCCAGGATCCTTCAAATCAAAAGTATCAGATTTCAAACATACTGCTACACATATTTTTTTTGTCAAAACAAGTTAGCAATTTCTAATTTCGAATGGAATTTTTTACTTTCAAGTTGTGAGCCAGTGATAAAACATCACAACTATTCTTTTTCTAATTAGTCACATTTGCCTTGGAAATACACATTATCAACTTACCCCAATAATCACTTAGCTAATGAGATGTGCAAAGTATCCAATAGTAAGGATAATACGGTGGTACATTGCTAATTTTACTTTAGTCAATTTATTTTACACTTTTTTTATTCATAATCTGCGTAATCTTTGTTGATGTTCAGCTTTCCTAGTAGAACACCTATAGAAAATGATTAATAAAAACAGAAACAGGATATAACAATCACATTGTAGATAACAAGAACCACTATCAACCCCACTGCCAAATTGCAAAAATAATAATCGATTTGCCACACTAGCTAAATTGGCACATAATTTAAAGACAAAAGAAGTTTCGAACTATGAGAATGAGATACATAATACTCAAGAAATATATAGAACCTTCAAAGCGAGGTCAAGAGCATCAGAACCAACAGAATGAGGACCCAGCTGAGTCAATTCCTTGACATGTTTCATAGCTTCTATCTCCGAAAATCCCCGTTTTCAGAGTATTTGAAATGAATAGAGCACAATAATCCCGTGGTAATCAATTTCCCCTACCCCTCTTTCTTTATCTGATTAGGGTTCTAAATTGAACTCAGGTAAGATTAATTTGGCTAATATTATTTTTATTACTATTGAAATAAATGTAAATTCGACAAAATTAAGGGTAATTTGATTGAACTTACTGTAATTCAACTGAAATATTTGCATACAAACAATCGATTGAATTTAACCCTAAAACTAGAACTATGAGGTTTTTTTTCAATCACCTAAAACTCAAATTGCAAATTAATTAAATAGATGAAAACTATGAATTGACTTATGTTTCCTTCATAATTCAAATGATTCATGCGGTTTGATTGACAAATAATCAAAATTCAATTACTCTATAACAAGAAGATTCGAACCTAC